CCTGGACTCGCAACATTCTTCAATCCAATAGATATGGCACTCCTGTCAGCTGTAAAAGCTGGCATATTTGTGGTGCAAGCTGCAGGAAATACTGGCCCTTCCCCTAAGAGTATGTCTTCCTATAGTCCTTGGATATTTACTGTTGGAGCTTCTGCCCATGACAGGGTATACAGCAACTACGTTGTACTTGGCAACAATTTGACCATTCAAGGAGTTGGTCTTGCCCGTAAGTTCCTTTGAAGTAATTTTCTGTACAAATGTAGTTACCTCTATATAACTGTAACCTTAACCTGTATTGATTAAATGCAAATACAGCTGGAACGGATGGTGATTGCATGTATACTTTAGTTGCTGCACCTCATGCACTGAAGAACAATACAGTCAGTCCTACTGAAATGTCCCTTGGGGAGTGCCAAGATTCGAGTCGCCTAGATGCAGATTTGATAAGAGGAAAGATACTAGTGTGCAGCTATTCTATAAGATTTGTGCTTGGTCTTTCTTCTGTGAAACAAGCTCTAGATACAGCTAATAATGTCAGCGCTGCAGGAGTTGTATTCTATTTAGACCCATTTGTTCTTGGGTTCCAGCTGAACCCAACTCCAATGCGCATGCCTGGACTTATAATACCATCATCTGATGACTCTAAGGTAGGGCAGCCAAGAGCTAATGCTGCAGCCCAATTATTCTTATTGTTTCCTCCTTTTCTGTGATTTTTTTTTGTTTTGCTGACGATTGGCCCAATCTGATAACTAATTTGACCCAGTTTCTTGAATTTTGTTCACCTTTGTTCAAACCATTTCAGCAATTGGTCTGGTGTTGTTAGTTCTATGCCTTTTATTCTGTCTATTTTGGGCTTCATGTTGACTGTCATATGATTTTAAGTTGATACATACAGAAGCTGACATTTGATACGCAATCACTATGTTCTCAATGTAAACTTACCCTTTCTCAGCAAAAACTTGTAGTTGCAATGTTCTTCCTTGCTGAATAATTGTAGCACAATATTGCAGGTATTTCTCACTTACTACAATGACTCCCTAGTGAGAGATGAGACGTCAGGCCAAGTTGTTAGCTTTGGCGGAGTTGCTAAAATATTAGGGGGTCTAAATCCAAATTATGGAAATTCTGCACCAAAAGTAATGTTCTATTCTGCTAGGGGTCCTGACCCTGAGGACAATTCACTGTCAAATGCTGATATCTTGAAACCAAATCTGGTAGCACCCGGAAGTTCCATTTGGGGTGCTTGGAGTTCACTTGGATTGGATTCTGCTGAATTTGCTGGTAATTGCTCCTGTTTTCGTTTCGAAATGTTTTATGAACCTTGTGTAAATTGTACCAACATGGAAAGATTTGATCAGTCTATGTTCTTAAACTTGTTAAAATGGCACACCTTTTTAGATGAAGAATAGCAAACTGTAATGTTGAAACAAAGTGTTACATATATTGACTGATTAATTCTTCAAACATTTAAAAATGATTAGAGCACCATTGCTGTTGGGGACTACCCAGCTGCCCAAAAGAAGATTTTACAATTACTATTCAATTTTGTCATGAAAGCCCTTCAAACAAAATTGCCTTTGCATTGGAGTCCTGCATTATAACTTTTCCTTTCACTGATAGAATCTGTCGAAAACTCTCTTCTAGGTGAAAGTTTCGCAATGCTCTCTGGCACAAGTATGGCTGCACCCCATGTTGCTGGCCTCGCTGCTCTCATCAAGCAGAAATTTCCTTCCTTTAGCCCAGCAGCTATAGCTTCTGCATTGTCTACAACCACCACTCTTAGTGACAGGCAAGGGAAACCAATCATGGCACAGCGAACATACAGCAACCCAGACTCAACGCAATCTCCAGCGACAGCTTTTGATATGGGGAATGGCTTTGTCAACGCTACCGCTGCTTTAGACCCAGGGCTGATATTTGATTGCAGTAAGTCATCTCCATTTTGTTTATGTTAAAAAGTAAAAGTATTTATCTGTACATGATGGACGTGTCTATATCTATATAGCTAATTTGTAAATTATCCTTACAGGTTATGATGATTTCTTCTCCTTTCTTTGCGGCATAAATGGGTCTAGCCCAGTCGTGACAAACTACACTGGCAACAGCTGCGTGGCCTCCACCATGACAGGAGCAGATCTAAACCTACCGTCAATCACCATAGCCGTGCTCAACCAGACAAGAACCATAACGAGAACGGTGACCAACGTGGCGACCGACGAGACCTACACTGTCAGTTACAGCGCTCCCTATGGAACCGCAGTCTCCGTGGCGCTGACACAATTTTTGATTCCAAGCGGGCAGAAGCAGCTTGTGACCTTCGTCGTGAACGCTACCATGAACAGCTCCAGCGCAAGCTTCGGGAACGTCGGTTTCTATGGTGACAAAGGCCACCGGGCAATCATCCCATTCTCGGTGATCTCCAAGGTTGTATACAGTTCCTGATGACTGATTAGCTGAGCTGATGCAGTGGATGCAATGCAAACCAGGGCCTGACTGATCCAGCGTATGCAGTGATGACTGCATGGAGGTGGAGCTTACCTTTGACTAGAGAAATTTTTTTGGTTGTTGTGCACGGGTGTACACTCTGAAGCATGTTGATGTAAGTAGCTGAGTGATTAACCAGTAACTGTAAAAAGAATGTACTACCAGAATGTTGCCATGAATGGGAAATCCTTTTGCAACCAGAATGTTAAGGCCCCGTTTAGTTCCAACCCAAAAACCAAAAATTTTCAAGATTCCCTGTCACATCGAATCTTGCGGCACATGCATGGAGTATTAAATGTAGATGAAAAAAAAAACTAATTGCACAGTTCATCGAGAAATCGCGAGACGAATCTTTTAAGCCTAAATAGTCCATAATTGGACAATTTTTACCAAATAACAACGAAAGTGCTACAGTAGCCAAAAGCCAAAATTTTTCGGAACTAAACGCGCCCTAAATACATAGCACTCTGCTGGCGCTTGATTCACCGATGTGATGTTTGTGCGATAGCATCGTGCTTGATACTGTATCCCCTTTACATCCCAAACCTGCTGTATGTGGCCGCGTGCGGGGCGGGCGAGCGGCAGTCTCGCGCGGGGCTGGTATGCCCAGCGGGTAGCGGCCTCTATCACCACTAGAGCCAGCGGATCTTGGCGGCGTGTGCTTGCTCCTCGGCGTCGGCAAGATGCGACTTTTCTGAATTGGGGTGCCTTCTGAATTCATTTGTCAGATGCCACTTCTCAAGAGTTTGTTATCCTTGCCATTCCCAATTGTAGTAATGCATTTTACGAGCCTAGTAATTTCCAACTGTAATTTGACTTAGGACCGCAACAGTTTAACAGATATCTGATGGGACCTGCATTCTATTTTGATCCTTTTAGTTTGGATACTATAAAATATCAGTAATTCAGTGTAATGTGAGACATTGAAATGTGATATGGATGTTGTTTCTTCATGGTTGTTGTAGTGCTTTCATGTTTTCATATGTGGTTCATATTGTTGCCATAATACTATTAAAATACTGCTAGGATGCTACTAAAATATTGCCAAAATTTTGGATATTTTTGTTAATATTAATCTGTTTTGAAATAAATGCAAATTGTGCTAAATATATTTGACCAAATCTAACCACTTTTTGTCAAAATACAATACAAATGTCTTATTCTAAATTAGTGGTAAAATCACAAATAGCCATAAAGAATCAGAACAAAATCACATGAGCATATTTAGACTCCGTTTGGCACGGCTTCACTTCACCAAGGAAGTCGTTTTTGGGGGCTTCAGCTCCATGAACAGCTCTATCGGTGGAGATAGAGCCGTTTTGGTAAATCGTTTGCCAAAACAGCTCCACATATAGAGTTCCTTAAAATATGCTATCACAGAACGTCTTATAGGATGAGGTGAAGCCGGGAGAAGCCACTATTTTTGGCTCCTTCCCACCCCAAAGCTCTGTGAGAGCACGTTTTTAGGGGCTTCATCGATAGAGCCGTTTTATTTTACCCCGTTTGACAGAAAACAGCTCTAAACGGCTCCTAAAGCCGCTGGAAAAGCCATGCCAAACATGGACTTATCATTTTCTACAAAAGTTAACACCGTTAGGGAAAGACCACGAAATGAGGGCAAAGTGGTGCTTCATTTTAAATGCACAGGGTAAATTCACAACGTTAAAACAACAGGGGCAAAATCAAAAATTTCAATACAAAACAGAAGTAAGAATGTAACAAAGAATTAGAATTAAAAGTCAACTTCTCACCTTTAACTCTTTCTCTCTCAACTCCCACGCTAACTCTCTCTCTCTCTCTCTCTCTCTCTCTCGATTCTCCCACACTAATTCTCATGCCCTTGTCATATGTACTAGCTGCCAAACACAGCCTTAGGGCCAGTTCGGTTCGCTGGAAATGGACCCCGGAACAATTCTAACCTGGATTGTGGTGCTAATTTGTGCTATCTTGCGAGAGGTGGACGGGGGTCGTTGGGCGGCGTCCTCTCCTTTTCTTTATCGATATCCTTTCTTTATTATTTGTAGTCGCCATCGCGATCGCGACTACGGGATCTGCTCTGCTTCCTCTCCTCCTTTCCTCCTGTGGCCAGTACCTGGAATAATTCCTGGTGGAATCGTTTATGGCCATTCCTAACCAGGAATAGTTCTTAGTGAGGATTGACTATACAAATTACACTATCATTTCTGGTAGGAATGGTTCCTGGACACCGTTCCCTGCCAAACGAACGCAGCCTAAGTAATTAGAAATGAATTTGTGTAACACGGATGCTCAGTTTTAATAAAAATTTCGGTTCAGGGAGTAACTCGCTAATTTGAAGATAACCTTGATAACCCTTCTTCGCATGAAAACGTACACGCTTTTCATCCAATCTTCCTTCACGTTATCCTGAACTAAACCCGGCAATCTGCAAAGGCCCCCAACCAAAACCTCGCCGCCGGGCTCCCACCTCAATCTCGCCCGCGCACTACGAGCCGACGCCTACGGCCTACCACCGCACCATAGCTGGAGCCGCAACCATGGCGTCCTGCTACCACCCTTGTCGCCTCTTCCCAGGTAACCTCCAGCTGGGATCCCATTTCATCGTTCGTAATTCCCCGCGCACATCTCGTTCTCGTCGGTTATCACAGCCACTCTCTGTTGAAACTGTTCAGGAATGTCGCCGGCGGCCCCTGCCGGGCCCGTCTCGGCGCCGGCTCATCCTCGCACCTGCAAGTCCTCGGTAATTGCCTGAACGTCTCGTACAGTTTAACTTTGGTTCCTAGTTCGGTCTCCGCGCCTGATTGGAACTCGTTCGGTGGGTAACAGAAGGTGTTCGCTGGTTTGCCTCAACGGAGGAGGCTGCTGTTCCTGGGCATGCGGCGTGCCAGGATCAAGTGCGTCAAGGACGACTCGCTCCATTTCGACCCATCGAAGATAGAACCGCCACCGTACTCCAGCTACTTCGACTCCACATCCGGTCAGCTCGAGCCGGCGTCGGGCGCTCGGGCAAGCATACTCGGGAAGGAGTACTGGCCGGAGGGCACGGCGGCCCGCGTGCGTGCCGCACGAGCGCCTGCCCCGGTCGGGGAGTCGGCTGGGACGCCATCAATTGGCACGAAGCCCGGGAGCAGGAGGAGAGGGTATAAGGAGCAGGTGACGTCGGCCTCAGGAACGGAGGGCGCGCAGACTGACGACGGAAAGGATGATGGTGAGCCTGATGTGGTCATTGTAGACTCTGGGGACGATGCATTGGAGGAGCTAAAGGATTCGGTGGATGAGTATGTCATTTATGAGACACCAGAGGAAGAGGAGTTGAGTGAGTATGATATGGACAAAATGATGGGGCGGCCGCACCCGTTCATTGACCCAGCAAAGGCGATGTCATTAGGGGAGCCGAAAACCAGCGAAGAGCTCTGGTGGCACTGGAGGAGGAAGTCTCAGGATGAGGAAATGTGATCAAGATGGCAGAGGAGGCGTCCAGATGTTGACACGGTTAGTTCCTCACTTGATTGAACCTAGTAAGTGGTAGGCAGTGATGTTTCCTTATATTGGGACTGTTCACCAATTCCGGACATGGTAAGATACTGCAACAAAAGGCCATAAATGTACGATTTTGAGTATTGCAATGGTACTCGCTAGTATTTCTATGCCTGATTTAGAGTTCATATAGCATAGATGTTGGGCGGAACAATTCCCCTATGATCTTTCAGTGTCATTTTATTTGTTTTATTATCTGTGCTAAAGTAACTAGCCAAGTATATATGGTATTTTAGTGCTAATTACTGTCAAGTGTTAGTGATCATGTTGGCAATTATCCTATGGTTCTCCATTTATTCTGTTTGTACTGTGAACGTGAGAAGAGTGTCATAGTCTCATAGATGTAAAGGTGAGGCTTGTGCTTGGCATTGACGTCTGTGCATGTATATCGATGTGCAGGTTTGTGTGTCCATATCTCGTGATAGGTTGAGGCTTTGTGATTTTATTTTTTATCTTGACTGGTGTTTCAACTAGCTTATATTCCATGACAGATTTGAGCTGCGATCAACATTATAAATCGTAATGTATGCTGTATCATTTTAGGTTTTTGCAAAGGCAATGGCGGAGACTGGGCAAATTAAAATTTTTGGGGACCATCCTTCGCGGACAGAAGCTGCTCTTGCAAAGACAAGAAGACATTTGTACAAAGAGGAAAGGTTGACTTACATTCATAGAATACTAGAGTTATTATACCATAAATTCATGCAGTACATCTTTACCGAATGATTTTATAGAATACTTGCACACACCTTGTTTCTAATGCTAATTGCTTCACAGCTTTTGAGTTGGTAGTACCACCACTCGTGCATGGTCTCATCATATAATCTTTCCTAAACTTATTTAACTGCTCTTGGATTTTCACCTTCTCTGAGTTATGCCACATATTACAAAGAAGTGGTGGTCTCATCATATATTCTTAGATACTGCATCAGAAAGATGCTGAGGATCGATTTTCTAACACAAGTCTATCTTTCCCATTTATACTCTTACATTTGATATACAATATAAAAACAGGTTAGAAGCAGAGCAAAGGAGACTAGAAGAAATAGGGCCGATAGCATACTACTCAGAATGGGTTGAAGCTTATAAAAACAAGGATACATCACGCGAAGCCATACAGAAGCACTTTGAGGAAACCGGCGAAGATGAGAATGCTCAACTTATAAAAATGTTTCAACACCAAACTGCTGGGGAATATCGTATCATGATGGGCACCGATGTGCGTATTCAGCGAGATCCTTTGGCCATGAGAATGCGGGAAGACCAGATCAAACAGAGTATTTCTTTGCTAAAAATTCTTCTTCTTTTGCATGTCTTGTCTTTAAAGTCTTTTTTGTTGCTGCTGCATAATCATGTGTTGTTTGTCTTACATTAGCTTCCCTGTTCTATCCCTCTACAGAGATGCTCTATTCTAGTCTGGTAGAATGTCGACTGCAAGTTACTAGGAGCAATTACATAATATCATTATAGTTAGAAGCTAAATATAAAAAAACTGTTTTCATACACCTTGGAGTCATGTCTGTGTTGCAGAACCTTCTGGGTGATTTATATAATCCCATCCACTGATTTGAGTGTGCATTTCATGAATTACTCCGCTCCTGTTTCTTATATATAACAGCAGACCATTTGGGTGGCTTGAGTTAGTAAAAGTGTTGTTCAAAGTCAGCGTCTTGTTCATAATTGAATGTTGCCACCTTAAAGTTACTCTACTCTAGCAAATTGGAAGAACATATTTTTTGAATAGGAAGGTTTACTTTATACACTTTAATAGTATTAGGGAATATCCTAACCAGGACATAATTTCCATACTTTAATGTGTAGTTTGGGGCGGTGATCCTGTCTATCCAACAATTAATTATGTTCAGGATCCTGATGAAGTGACGGACTACAGAGGTCCTGAATTTCATGAGCCTACCCCTGAAGTTGTACCTTACCTGATGGAGGTATGGGATAGCACTTATGCTAAACAAATATTATTTGGACTTGCTTGGCTAAGATCTATCATAACCATGTTTGTAATGTATCTGTTTATATCAAAATTTGGTAAGCTTATCCTGAAAAGGAAGAGATCGGCCGATGATGTCAAAAGCAAAAAGGTTTCCTAATTAAGGAATATTTATGAGCCGGCCAAGAAATATTATTTAATTAATTTGAGAAAGACATGACGTCCAGGTGCATATTAGGATGAAAGAAACAAAGACACGTATCAAACAAGGAAGCTTCATCAGCAAGGATTCTACATAAGAGAAATTAGAGTTCATGTATCTTAGTATTTCTTTTTGTTATCTAGTCGTGTTCGTTTAGGACTCTTATCAGCCCAGGGTATAAATATAAACCCCCGGCTATTGTATCAAACACACAATTAATCAAATACAAGGTACTTACTTTTTTCGGCTCCGGCCATCCCTTAGGAGTAGGACCTTCACTGCGACTCTGGTATAACTTAGTTATCGATTCTTGTCTAGTTCAAGTAAGGCTGTATCGATCCGGTCGACCCCCACTGCTCGAACTAGATTAAGGTCAAGTTATCGGCTCTATCTAAGGGTGGCGTTCCTTCGGATAGATTCATTAAGTTACCGATATTGCTTATTGCTTTCATTATTTATTTAATTACAACAATATCACTTTGTCCGATTGAGATTGATTTAGATCGGCCTTATATCTTGTTTAATCCATCGTTTGTTAATCTAAACTGATCTAATCTGCACTGCAAACGATGAGTTATGTTTTATCGGCTGTTTTATGTCAATCTTGATCGTGCATCGTGTGCGGTTAAGGCATGTCTGATCTCGAGTAGATCTATTGGCTAGCGAAATCCGTTCCATGGCCCGTTATCATGGCCTGTGTGATTCTGCCTCACACCCCACTGTTAGCACCATGGAGTGGGGATCGTTATTCGGTAGAGTTGTTCTTGATAGGGCATGACCTTAACTGTGCGCTATGCCTGAATCGGCTGTTTTAGTTGATATTAAGTGCTTTCACGAACAGTTCACATCACGAAACCGTTGAAATAAAGGTAGGTTGAAAGATGTGTTAGCCCCATGATCTTATTATTGTATTACGGCCTGTATGATTCTGCCTCATGCCCACTGATATTAGTAATAGGTTAGGGTCGTCGAGTCTATTGTTGTTTCTACGGCCTGCATGATTCTGCCTCATGCCCCACTGGTCATAGCGATAGATGAGATCTAATATGTTCATTAGATTTATCTTTATTAAATGGTTGAATGATGATGAACTGTTTCTTTTATATAAAAAGAGGTTGGGTTACTTGCAGTCATTGGCTTAGCATAAACTAATTATTGTTGACATCTTATTGCCATTAACCAATATTTATCTAAATAATGATATTCATTCAGAACGATAACCGATTCTCCTTACACAACCCCACGAGCTTTAACTGATTTATTCTTATGAATATGCTGGAATCGACTATTTAGTCGATCTCCTTTCATATCGGCTCTCAGAGCCGCACATTCGGGACTGTTTGGCAACATCGGCACGTTCCGCCCTAAATTACTGATAAACTTTCTCTCCTTGTCAATTGCAGGGTCAAATTGACTGGCACGTCTCGGGAGGAGTGCGCAGGATCGACCATCCCTGCGCTGAAGCTAGGCGGATCTCCAGCTCCATCGAGCGGACCCTTCCGGCTTGCTCGTGTGCCCTCGGCACGGGACGAAATTTCATGCTGACACACGTTCTTGTCACGCTCGGTGGGACACCACAATCGTCATGGCGGTTCACAGCAACAACGACATCCTTATGGTACATTATGAAGATCTACCTGATGGAGATAAAGATGTCATCGGCAAAGTTATAGAAGAATTTCAGAACAAGTGCTTATTGTCCTACACCAAAACACGTGACAACACAATTATTCAGAAATATCCACTACCAAGAGTTCTATTATACGGGCAGACAGATACAATTGAAGCAGAAGACAGACGTTTCTTTACGGAAATTGTAAACAAATCTGTTCGCGGTGCCATATCAAGCCATAATGAAGCTTTCTTGGACACATTCCACAACACCATGAAAGAGGCGATTCATGAGTTTTCAGTTGGTCAAGTTGGGTCGGCATATTACAACATTCCACATTCGTCGACCCAAGGGACTAATCAAGTTGGTACCAGCCATCAAGAAGCAGCACCAGCTGGTAATGATGATGTCCAGGCAGTTTAGGGTTCATCTGAACAAGCTCAAGGTGCTACTACAAATCAGACACAGTATAAACCTGGATCGTCAGTGCAGCATATGCAACAGCCGGCGGGGCAAGATCAGAACCAAATAATTAATTTTGGCACATCGGGCCACATACCATCGTCGGCTCAAAAAATAGCACCATCGATTCAAAGGATCCGTAGAGATATAGATCTTTATGTCTACAATCAGAGACTTCAAGCGGCAAACCAGCAAAGGACCCAGCAGATAGAGATTCCACAAGGGTATCATTATTGAAAGGATCAAGATGCCCAAGAGGGGGGTGAATTGGGCTAATTCTAAATTTCTTTGTAATAATTAAACCCTACGGTTAGCCCACTTCACCCCTTGTGTCTAGAAAGTGTTTCTAATGTTCTACCGCATAAAAAGTCTTACAACCTAAGTTACAATCCTATTCTAGCATGGCAATTCTATGAATGTAAAGACAAGAATTGAATTGCTCAAAGTAAATGCTCAAAGTAAAGAGAGAAAGAGGAACGCGGCGATGTTTTGCCGAGGTATCGAAGAGTCGTCACTCCCCACTAGTCCTCGTTGGAGCACTCCGCGCAAGGGTGTAGCTCCCCCTTGATCCGCACAAGGATCAAGTGCTCTCTACGGGTTGATTCTTTGACACTCCGTCGCGGTGAATCATCCACAACCGCTCACAACTTGAGTTGGGTCATCCACAAGCCGACACTTAATAGTACGGTCAAAGGAAAAACAAAGTCCTAAACTACTCTAAGTGTCTCTTCAACTCTAAATGACACTTAGAACTAGTACATCCTTAACCTTGTCGTCCATCCTTTGAAAACCGAAACGATTTCCATCATAGGGGCATGACCACCATGATTGCCCAATCAATTGCCATTACCGTGACCAAACTTAATTGCCTCTGCAAAACACACGTTAGTCATTGTAATCACGTATTGTCATTAATCACCGAAACCCAACTAGGGGCCTAGATGCTTTCAATTATGGCATAGATTATAACACCCTTCACATGATTCTAAATCCAGGGTATCAAGACACACGAGATTTCAATCCACAGATGGGTCAGTAGGTGCAGATAAATCCAAATTCATATGCTGATGAGTTGTTGCTAAATGTGACCGAGATGATGAAGAATCAGTTCGGTCTGAAGGCAAAAGGGCTGACCTTTTCATACAAACGCCCATATCCGGAATGGTATGATTTGGTCGCTCTTCCTGGAAATTACATGCTTCCAGAGTTTACTAAGTTCACTGGCCAAGACACTACGAGCATAATAGAACATGTCAGTCGGTATCTTACACAATTGGGCGAGGCTTCAGTTGAGGAGGCCCATCGAGTTCATTTCTTCTCCTTGTCCCTGTCAGGACCAGCCTTCACTTGGTTTTCATCACTACCGATCAACTCCATTGCCAATTGGGCTGATTTGGGAAAAAAATCATACATATTTTTATACTAGGACTGGAGAAAAGATTACCGATCTGACAACTATAAGGCAGAAGACTAATGAATCGGACACTGAGTTTCTTCAGAGGTTCCGAGAAACTAAAAACTTATGCTTCTTATTAAACTTGGCTGATGATCAGCTAGCTACTTTAGTCATTCAAGGAATGCTGCCAATGTGGAAAGAAAAACTGTTAGGACAAGAATTTGACAACTTGGGTCAATTGGCTCAATGAGTGGCAGCGCTCAATAGCCAATTCCAGAGTATACGTAGAGATACCCGATTCCAGAAGAGTACCACAGTGGCCGAACCTTATAATCCATACTCAGTCGATGACAGCTATGAAGATGAAGAAGAAGAGGTTGCTGCGGCTGAATAGAATTGGGGCAAAAAGATAGTAATGGTGTCAAATCCTTGGGGAAGAGGAGTCCAGGAGAGCTATGATTTTGATGTCACAAAATCAGACAAGCTCTTCGATTTCTTGCTTGAGAAGGGACAGATCAAGTTGTCCGATAATCATGTTATGTTACCCCCTGATCAGTTAAAGAATAAGAAGTTCTACAAGTTCCATAATGCTACTTCTCATTCCACCAATAAATGCAGAATTTTTCGGCAGCATATACAGAGGGCTATTCAGTAAGGAAGGCTCAAATTTGATACGCCTCGGAAAATGAAAGTTGATGATAATCCTTTCCCAGGATATCAAAACATGGCTGATGCTTGGCTGCTCAAAGGAAAGACTAAGGTCCTACCATCAACCAAATCAAGAGAAGCTAGAACAGTCGATCCCGAGAGGCAAATATCGGGCGACGAATACATGGGAATTAAAAGACGTCGCGACAAGCAAAAGAGCCGATATAAGCAGGGAGAAACGTCAAAAGAAGGGGCGATAAAGCCGCGAGTTACATCTCAAATTCTGTTGAATAAATTGCAGCGGCAGAAGGAAAAAGATTATCAGCGTTGGTTGGAAAAGCAAGAATACCAGCGTCAACAGGAAAAAGAGATGTACGAAAGAAAGCAAACTGAATTGTATTGGAATTGTCTTTTCTTCAGACATTGCTGGAACAAAGGTTTGAAGTTGCCTACTAGGAGTAACTGTCCAGAGTGCAACGATCAGTATTGGGAGTTTGGACAATCTTAAACCAACCACCGGTATATCCATGCTCAAGATGCATATCACCATAATAACATGGATTGGCGCTTAAAAATAGAAGTGTTCATAATCGGCTGGGAAAAAGAGTTGTTGATTAAGACTGGGCTGATTATGAAGAAGAAGGCAACGAAAGAGAATATGTTTGGCAGGAAGGCCAA